GGAAACCTGCCTATAGAGAAATCAATTTTTAGGAGATTCAGAAAAAGTGCTCAAATTATTATAATTTTGCCTTGGAATAAAAGCTCTCCAGCAGGAGAAGTAAAAATAGAAAACAGGTATGAGAAATGAAGTGCGAAGGCTACTCGGAGCCCTCACATCTTCCTCACTCCCCTGGGGAACTGCAGTCTAGAGCATCAGGGATAAAAAATAACTAAATCCCCAAGCACTGGTCTTTATGAACATGCCTGTAATACCTGCAGTCCTTTGGTGCCTGGTGTGACTGGGGAGAAAGTCATGGAATGGTGCAGAAGAGCGTACGGAACAGGAGGTAAATAAGAGATAAGGACAATTTAAGTCGTTTTCATCAGCTGGGTTAACTCCTCGAAATTTTCCTCTGTGATACTCAACATTTTAGTCCCAAGCAGAACTGCCAGGCTGGTCCTTTGTGGTCAGTCTTCTAGAGAGGCAGAAAGGAGACATCCTGTCCGAGTGGCAGCATCTGGTCAGCTTCCCAAAGATGCAGAGGAATGGAGATCCTTCAGGTGCAACATTCAAGCAGATGACTTTGGTGGAGGATTTGCGCAGCTTTGGGAGTTGTATAGATTTCAAATAGTCCTTAATTGGCAGTAGAGGTCAGGGGAGGGGATTAAGAGGAGGAAAGGAAGAGGAGAGGAAAAGTGATAACTTAAAGACTAGTTTCATGTTCCTGAGATCATTGGGAAGGATAACAAATTAGGGACATACGGGGTTTGTTTACAGAAGCTATATCCCCATTTGGACCAGGATGACATATGCAGTTGTCTGCACAAACCTTACACACTGGCTGCTGCATTCTTTATTTTTAATCACTCATGTATTTTTCCCATCTGTTTTTCTTAGTTCTTATGCTTGGCTTTCTGGTCTTTAGACTTTTCTGATCCTGGGCTCAGTCTCAATCTCCTTAGAATAGATATAGTAATGGACAAGTCATTCAGCCTTTCATCTGCCATTAATGATGAATTACACAGCCTGCACCAGGTCATCAGCTGCTATAAATTGGCTTAGGAACGCTGAAATCAATATACACCGACCGAGAATTGGATTCTGTATATGTATTAGTACCTCATTTGCTTTAGTCTTTTTGGTTGTTTTGAACTCGCAGACGATTGCAAAGTCCTACAGATTTATTTCGGGTTTATTTCTCACATCGGTCCCATAATTCTTCGGGTTTGTTACTTATTTCTGATACGATGCATCATCACCGGCTGTGTCACTTCATTTTCAAATGCCTTTTAGGACATGATTTGTGGTCCAGCTTTCCAGTGCCTACTTCTGCCTTTCAGTTTATTACAAAGAAGGACAGAGTCATTCTGGGGTTTTGGTCTTAGAGAAGTAAGAGTATATTTGGGCCGACTTTCCCAATCACCTGTTTTAAAATGCCCCACTTTGTGTTGGTGAAGACTGGAAAGCGATCAAAGGTAAACAGGTTTTTTTCTAACTGCTGCCATCATTTTTCTTCTGTCCCCCTGAGTGCAAATTCCAGAGAGCTCTCATCACCTTGGAGGTGGATATTTTTCTTTAAAACTATCTTTATGTAAGAGTCACACTTACATTTTTAAGCTTTTTCTTCTACTTTATAGATTTAGCATATGAATTTTTCTTGCAACTCAGATGAATTCTTAATCAGCTTCCATGTAATTTTTTTCTTCGGTACAAGATTTTTCCTCTGAGATGTTTCCAACCAAGGCCAGTAACATCTAAATACTCCTAATAGGGCCAAAATATTTCCAAACCCATCATATGAAAGAATTTCTCTTTGCTTAGCACCACTGAAATGATCCGAAGGACTATTTCTAGAATACTACTACCAGTCACAAATTAAACCTTGTCATTATCTGGAATAATGTCCCTATATGATGTTGCAGCGTGGAGCTGGTTTCATATCCTTATTTGAATTATTTTAATTATCGGGCTTGAAATCTTGTGTCACATTACCATGTCTTGGTATGATCCCCAATGGGAGGCTGTCAAATTTCATTATATTATGGCGACTCTCATTTGGTGGCTCAAACATATTTGCTACATGAGCCAACCCTTGTGTATTACTCAAGATTAAGTCAAGAGCGTGCCTGCTATTCTCTGAGATGAACTGTTGAAAGGAGAGGTTGACCTAATTAGAAAAGTCTCCCAAAGAGCAGCAGAGAACAAAGCTCCTGTGAAACAAAGGACTCCTCCGGTTTTCACTGAGATTTATTTCTGACCTATTATGCTCATTCTGTAGTTGGCTGCATCAAAAATGCCTTTAGGACAGAAAACTTCACCGGTTAAAATAACTGGCAGGGGTGAAGTGGGGCGCGGGTGCTGCACGAGAGGGACAGGACTAACGGGGCCGGCAGCTCCCGGTGCTTCCAGCGCCGCACGGTTAAATCTCAGTGCCGCTCCTTAGGGCAGGAGGTCAGACGTGTAACCTACAAAGTACAGCAGAAAGACCGGACAGGGAAAGTCTTGCGCTGCATTGGGTGAAAATTTTCCTTATTTGAGGAGTGTGCCTGAAATGAGGATGAGCATTGAATTCTCTTTGCTCCAGACAGGAGAGTTTTCTTTCTTTTTACACAGCTTTCATTTATATGTTATAGAGCCCACCTTACCTTTCATGGGTTTTCTCGCTTTATACGTTACTTTCAGTTCTTTTGTATGATTTTTTTTTCTTTTTTCTCATGTGGGAATTCAGTAAAACAGTACAGCAAAAAAGGCAAATGAATCTGCATGGTTTTATAGAGCTCTTTTAATGGTATCATAAGACTCTCTTCAAAATTATGAGCTGGATGCTGTTAGAATAGTAAATATGTAAATTCATGAGTAATTTGCAAATGTCCTTGAGCCACTGAACCCGTTGCTGTTGCGCAGGGTGTCTCAGTTCAATGGCATTGTTAAAGTTCTTACTCCGGATGACAGAATTGACTTTCATCTTCCTACATTTAAACGCTTTCCCTTCTGTATCTTTAGATACAGATAATAAACACGCTTAAAATGTTACAGGGGCAGGAGGGGCAGTCAGAGAAGTAAACACCGCTTCCCTCTCCTTTTCAGCTGCTGCTTCTCCTTCTGCGTTTTCATTACATTCGCTTTGCCTTTCTGCTTTTTTTGCAAGTCCCTTCGAGTTAAGTTGCTGTGCAGAATTCTTCGGCTTTCTTCTGCGCTTTGTTGTTTGCAGACAGCGCGACAAGGGAAGTGTGTGGTAGGGGTGGGATTAAGCACACATCTGTCGCAGCCTGAACAGAGGTTTAAAAGGTGCTCAGCCCTCTGAATGTGCGTATCCAGCGTCACGTCGTGGTGGACCAATATTTTAGGTATCATCGTACCAACTGTATGTTGAACTTACCAATTTGATGTGGTAATTTTTAATTTGTCCTCTCAGACCTTTCTCCGGCCCCTGTCCCTCTCCAAAGGAGATACATAAAGTTGCTACCTGTCTTTGAGTAATCTAAATTTTTTTTTTTTTTTTATCTGATTACATGGGAAAAAGTATTAACCAGGTTCTTGGAGACCTCTGCTGGTAATATCTTCCTGCTAACTCTCAGATTTTCTTGTGTCAAAATAGGGCAAATGACCATTGAAAACCTGAGGTCACTCCCTTATTTAATGGGAGTTCCTGAAAAGTGCTGTAGCTCTGTCTAGATGATGGGGTTTGTGAAGGTAACAGAGGAAAGTCAGAGGTTTTGTACAGTCTCCAAAAACATGTGGCAGTTTTAGCGGAATTTGATTTGCATGTGGAGTCTGGCTAAACTTAAGCTGTATTTTTAAAAAAAACCCAACAAACAACAAAATTGGTAAAAATACGTGAAACAACTAAAAATACGATCTCATAGGTGTCTGAAAACTGTCAGTGCCGGTTTTCACCAAATTCTACCAAAACGCATCTCTGATACCTGCTTTTGGAACAAGGTTTGTTCAAAGTCATTAATACAGTCATTGAGCCCAAAGATTTTTCATACATATGGAAGGTCTTCCTACGGCAGTACTTGTAGATATGGCCCTCATCTAAGACAAGACTGGGAATGTGGACCTGAAGTAGTGCCTGTAACCGTGCAGGCCTAAGTTACTGGAATAACCTTAATTAATTTCAATGCAGAGGTAGCTCTAAGTTACAAGTTTTGAAGTTGGATGTTAAATTTTAGAGCTTTGACGCGCAAGTCATATGGATCCTGAAGAAGAAAATTTCTGTATTTGAAGGACCACGGGTCTCCTAATGCCATTCATTCCACTGGGGCAGCACATGAACTGTTGCTTTGTTTTTCTACGATGATCGGGATTTTTGAAGCTACTCTGTTTCATAAAGGGTTTTCATTCAAAATAAAAGGAAAACAGGTTCTGATCTTGCACGTGCCACCTTCAGAAAGCAGAACTGGACTCAGAGGGGGAAAATTATTAGCCATTATTAAGCATGTTATTAAATCCAACTCTTACATGTGCTAATAAAGAAAGAAACAGCCATTTGCTTGCACCTAGAAAGCACACCGTCGGTTACAGACGTGAGGCTTTATCTATTCCTTCTGCATTGCAGCTCAGCCCAACTGGATTCAGAAAATCGGCGATGCCCACATAGAGGATAGCGTCGTCGGGGAATGCCGGGCGAGCGGGAGACCGAAGCCCTCGTACCGCTGGCTGAAGGACGGGGAGCCGCTGCTGCCCCAGGTAGGGACCGCGGAGCCCCACGCCGGGCAAGAGCATCGGGGGCTCTGCGACTGCGTTCGTGCTCTGCCAGCGTTGTCGTTTGCAAAACCCATGACAATTCAGAACAAGAGGAAATGGCTTCAAGTTGCGCCAGGGGAAGTTTAGATTGGATATTAGGAAGATTTTCTTTACTGAAAGGGTTGTCAGGCATTGGAACGCGTTACCCAGGGCAGTGGTGGAGTGCCCATCCCTGGAGGGATTTAAGGGTGGTGTAGATGCAGTGCTCAGGGACATGGTTTAGCAGTGGGCTTGGCAGTGTTAGGTTAATAATTGGACTAGGTGATCTTACAGGTCTTTTCCAGTCTAGGAGATTCGGTAATTTATTGTCATTTAGACAACTATTCTCTTACCTGATTACCCCTCCCCACCTGGGAAGGGCAATCAGGAAAAAACAATCAAACCCAGGGGTTGAAATATAAACAGAGTTAATAGAATGAGACTAGATAATTAACATAACACTAAAGAACCAATATTGATCCCAATACCAGTAGAAAATACACAAGGATTATCCTCAGCCCATTCTATCCATAGAAGCTGTGCACTCCCAGCAGTGACAGCAAATGTGGGACACTGTGAGCGCTGCGGCTTCGGGAGGAAGGGAAGGGCTCAGGGCTCCAGCGCTGGGGCAAAGAGTTCTCTGGACCACCACCATCAAGGGAGAGAGAGAACTCCTCAGCAAACTTTCTAATTTATATTGAATGTGAAGTTCATGGTTTGAAATAACCCTGTTGGCAGCTTGGGTCAAGTGCCCGGGTCTCGCTGCTCCTCATCCCCCCACCTGGGGAGCTCGAAAACACTGAGATGTTGAAACCCACACACCAGAGCTGGCTATAAAGTGAATATTTTCACCAATTCAGGTACTAGAGTCTTCTAAAAGTGCAGTCTTCCCAAGCATTAGGAGAGAACTTAGTCCTGCATTGCTCAAAGCAGGACAGCCAGCTTTCCCACCTCTGCGGGTTTTATTACATTTGGAGTGGAAACAGAAAGGAAGGGGGTGCTCTGAGATGTCCCCGCAGGGGCGGCAGTTCCTGCCCGTGCCTGGTGGGCGCTTCTGTCACCGCTTTGGGAGAGCTGCTGTTAGTGACAGGGGGACCCGGGGCAGCTCTGCGTTCCGAGGTCCTCCCTGAAATGAAGGGTCCACGATAAAAACCTGAGGGTGGAGCTATCCTTGTGAAGAAGAAGGAACGGCCAAGTGGCCATATGGAGTCTCTGGCCAGAAAATGATCAGCCTGGATTCTTTTTTTTTTTTAGTTTATGATGTTCAGGTGAACTTAGTGTTTCTGCTGATCCCTAATGGCGTTCCCGTTCCTCCTGCCGACCTGTGTCCCTGCGCAGGTGACCAGGAGCATCCCCTGCCATTGCTGGGGACACATCACCTGCCTAAAGATGGGCGATGGGCAGGAGCCGGGGAAACACCCCCCTCCCACCGCCCGGTCTGCCCAGCCTCTCGCCGGAGGGGCATCACTTAGTCCCATAATCCCCCTCGAAACCACCACAAACTAAAACAAGTCACCGAAGCCTTGCTTTCACGGGAACTGGCATTTTTTTTCCTGTCACTTATTGTGGAAGAACATGGCAGCCTAGATTTGATCAAACCCCAATAAAGATTGCACAAACATTAGATTTCCACCCTGCGGCCAAGTAGAAAGCCAGTAGCTCTTTATATTTCTATTTTTAAATGGTGAAACTCCTGGGGAGGGAGGGAACACTTTGCTGTACTTATTAAAATTGATAACCGGAGCTCCATATCCTTAGGCTGACAAATGATACCCCGGTCTTTTGTTCCACACACTAATTTTACTTGCTTCACGCTGGTCACTAGCAGATGGTCTTGTACTTAAATCCCGTTAGTGGCTGATATGAAGTAAAGGATCATTAAATTATTAACATCTATATTGTTTTCAGTAAACTGCAGAGGATTTTAAGTATTTCTCTCTGTGCTAGCTAAGATGGCAAGCCGTCTCGCTAACCTTCGTTGCCATATATACTCATGATGCCGCTGTTTTAAAGAATACGGTTGGCTGTGATATGCCGCTATGGAAGAAAAGTGAATTTTTTGATTCAAGTTTATCTGCTTGAAAGGGATATTAATCTAAATGGTTTGGGTATTAAATCAAAGAGAAGTCAAGGGAAAGTCCTCCAATTTAAATTGCATTTACCAACTTCTGTATTGGTTTTACCGTTTAGTATCTAACCTGACATAATTTTAGCTGGCAGACAAATAGATTGGAGCATGCAAATTCTTCCCATTACTGCCACTTGTTTTGTGCACCTTGGTATAAAATATGGCACAACTGCTGGGTTTGTGTTCCAAGCAGGGATCTCCTTATTTATTTCTTTCGCTGTTTCCTACAGGGCAGAGTTCAGCTAGAGCAGGGCTCGCTCACCATCACGAACGTCAGCCTGTTGGACGCTGGCATGTATCAGTGTGTCGCGGAAAACAGACATGGCATTATTTTTGCCAGCGCAGAACTGAGCGTCATAGGTAAGTGTACTTCCCTGAGTGCTGCAAACCTTCCGAAAAGGTTTCAAAGCATTCACCCGAGCTGGTTTTGCTGAGGTCCAGCATCTGAAACAGAAAAATTACCGAGGAACTTTGATAACTTGTTTTTAAGTAAGGCATGAAATGAAAACTTGAGAAAGTGGATAGACAGAGAACAAATATTTTTACATCATCCCATCTTCTCCTATTCATCCGGGTGACCAAGCACAGAGAGCTGGCAAGCTCGCTCACCTCTTGCTGGTTAGAAAAGTGTTGTGGAGAAACCCGAGTATTGCCCCAGTTAGGGACTTACTGGACAGTAGCTGCCTGCTCGTGGGCTGCAGAGACTGACCCTTGGGGAAATGTTGAGAAACCACCTGTCTCAACAGACCTTTCGCCATTCCGATGGCAATCGTTAACACTCCCATCCCAAAGCCTTGCCAAGGAAAACAGCTTTTGCCCCACCTGTTTTCTGTACACCTACTCTGCTTGTCCCAGTTAAGGTCAGGAGAAGCTCCTGTGGATCTAGGTGGTTAGATACCTGGTGGGAGAGGCAAAGATCAGAGAGCCAGGCCCAGTGCCAGCACAAGAGGCAATGGACACAAACTGAAACACAGGAAATGCCATTTAAGTTTAAGAAAAACTTTTTTACCACGAGGGTGCTCAAACGCTAGCACAGGTTGCCCAGAGAGATTGTGGCATCTCCATCTTTGGAGATGCTCAACACCCAGTGGACACGGCCGCAGGCAACGTGCTGTAGCTGCTCCTGCTTGAGCCCGGGTGGGACGGGACCACCTCCGGAGGTCCCCGCCAGCCTTAGCTGTCCTGGAGTATGTAACCCACTTGCAAACATTGCTGTTGGACAAGTGGCAGGCCTGGGAACTGATATGTCAGCATAGATATTGTAGTTTCAAAGGGTTAACTAGAATTAATGATTACAAAATAGCGGCTTAGTTGTTTTCAAAGCGAATGTTCAATAGCATCATTCCCTGCTTCATCCTGAAGAACAAAGCATAAGGTCTTTTCTGATTATGGCATTTTCAATATTGGTCATTTTTTATCAGTGGCGATAGATGCCTGCATAGAAAAAAAATTCATTTGAAAGATTGTCATTGTTGCTGTTCAAGAAAAATACAATAACGCTCAATAAATTAGACTTCAGAGTGCTAAGATTTATTGGACGTGTTCCTGCGTGAAAGAAATGGAAATAAACCCACTGATGCTTTTCCTGTCTGTTCAAAACCCTGGTAAAAGCGAGCCTTTGGGAGGAAGGCAGATCTCAGAAGATAGAGATTTAGCCCTTGTTGGGTACCTCCAGTGTCTCCCCGTGCCCGGCAGCACCCAGGGGCCAACCTCGTCTCTGCACAAAAAGCAAAGACCTTGGAGATCCTGCTCTTACAGACCTGCCAGATAACTTGTGCTTGGCTGACTTCTTGTTTGGGTTATGCAATCTCACTTCTGTATGTCACGTGAAAAGCACCAGAATGGTGTGCTGCAGGTTAATTTCCGTGGATTTGTGATTTAATTTGGCATATTTTTAATCAAAACCAGCATGTTTTTCCTTTCACGAGAGTTTTCAAAGGAGGTCTCTGAGCTCACTGAGAAATGTTAGCTTTTAAACAGATCTTTCTGAGTATAAAAATGGTTCTTTTAAAAGGTCCTGAAGTTAAGCACTTGAAATGATTAAACACCACTAATAGCAAGTGAGACTTATAACAAAATTAAGTGAAAAGGAGAAACAGAAAATTACAGAGAGAGCTTTTCTCAGAGTTATTCCTCTCTGTTGCCAATTATATTGCCTGGGGTCTTCTGCTAAAACTGGGGTCATGTTGTGCTGGGCATTGTAAAAACGTATAGTAAGATGTGTTCATTGCCTTAAAGAGTTTTCAGGCTACATGTTTAAAAATTTAGAAAACTTAAAAAAATGAATGATGGGCTTAGAGTGGAAAAAAAAGTAATTAAAATCCATATTTTACAAACAAGGTGTGAAGAAATGAAATGCAGTACCCCTGAAGTGGCACAGGAAAGCTGTGGTAGTGCTGAGAACTGAGCTCAGAGTTTCTGAATGTCAGCTGACAACGTTTTGAACATCACAGAGTAAACCCCGTATCGTGAAACTCCTCTACCTCACACAGGACCAAGAAGGAACTAGCAAATCGCTTGCAAAAAACCCAGTCTAAACTGCTCCTTACAGAGATAGAAATAAGAGGATTAGTCAGAAATCTATTTTGCCCATAAATTTTGGAGATTCATCTGAGAAATTATTTCCAGAAATTATACGGTATTAATTATGACAATGTGATATAAATAATAATCCATCTGGTACTGAGTGAGCTGGTGGGAAGTCGTCCTCGGGATGCCTCCTTTAATTTTGAAATGTTTTATATAGCCAGTGTTGGTTTTCAGATGGCTCTTTTACAATCTGTAATAACATGCATGTTTTCCTCTATGCTAAAATGAAGTCGGCCGTTTATGATTAGACATAGGGGACAAGACAGCTCAGAGATTAGCGAGTTCTGATTCATGAAAGTGGAAGATGAGATCTATTTGATCATAGAGCCCGAGCCATTATCAGTGTAGGATTAGGTTTTATTCAGCTCTTTGGCGGCAGGAACGATATCCATAAGAATTGAGGCAGACGAGGTGCCCTAAGAAAAATGAATTTGCTTTCTGTGTCACACGGCAAGTTTTTTTTGTCTCCCAGCTGCTTCGGGTGAGCTTTAGATCATTTTATGGAGCATCAAGCAGATGTGATGCACCGTGATCTAAACTCTCACCTCCCGGAGTGCAGCAAGAAAGTAAGTGGAGGAAGATGCTGTGAAGTCGGGGGATACGGGGACGGGGCAGGAGGGGCAGGGTGCGGGCTCACAGCTCGCAGAGGGGACTGGGCAGAGTTTGCTGCCACCGGTCGGTCAGAAGGTCAACTCCTGTCAGCAAAGATGTTGCGAGCAGGGCAGGAGTTGTTCATAAAACCCTTAAGCCGCCTCACCTATTTGCTTTGAGCTTTCTGTATTGAAAAAAATTAATTGTCCCACTTGATATAAATAAAACCTTCTGGTCATCTGTGGGGAGTTCACTACCAGAGTCAGTCTAGAGGCCGCTGCCTCGAAGCTCTGCCTGTCATCGGCTCCCGTCAAATAAATCATTAAAACTCCTTTGAGGCAGGAATGATAAGCCAAACAATCTGCCGCCTCCCCGACCTGCCTTACAGCCCGGCTGCAGACTGTCTGCAGGGCTTTGCTGGTTGCTTCAATGAATATATCTGACTGGTTTTCACAATATAGAAGAGTGTGTCCTGGAGGGACTGACAGAGGTGACTGGAGAGTACCTTTTACCCTGGTGCCTACTTCAGTCTTGCCATGTTTTGCTTGGTTCAGGACCTGGCTGCCTCAAGGACTCCCACCTTTATAGCATTAAAATAAAAGACCCGGTTAATGCAACTGTTATGAATATAAAGCATAAAAATGTCAACTTTTCTGGAAATATAAACATTTCTGATAACGTGAGTTCAGTGTTTGTGGCTATTTTCCTGTGTGCTGTCACTCTGCACGTAGCAATGTTCCCCAAAATGGTGATCGCGCTGTTACGACACAAAAATGGAAATACATTATACAGTTCGTGCAGGCGTCGTTCTTAGGGGCGCTGCCCCGAATCAGGTGTGCGTGACAGCGGGTTTGTGTGCCTGCCGAGGTTACCGCTTCCTGAGGTTTGCAGCTGAACGCTCATTTCTAAACAAGTAAAGAGCTGAAGCGTTCCGGTGTCTGTCTGCCCCATCCGTACGTGCACACAGTTCATAAAGTCAAATCATTTAGGAACTGCCAGGTGAGGAAAATCCCTGGAGTATTGTAATGTTCAAAAGAGTTTGGTTTTTTCCAGAGGCAATTCTGACCTGTTCTTTTTTTTTTTTTTCTTTCAGCCGTCAGTCCAGACTTTTCCAAAACACTCTTGAAAAAGTTAACTCTTGTTAAAGTGGGTGGAGAAGTGATCATTGAGTGTAAGCCGAAAGCTTCCCCCAGACCTACTTATTCTTGGAAGAAAGGAAAAGACATCCTAAGAGAAAATGAGAGGTAATGTCTTAAAGTAACCATTTCTTTCATTAGCTTGCTCCAACCCAGGGGCTTTCAGCAATGAAAGCTAAATTTGTCATTAATAGCTTCCCAAAATTGACTTGCAAATAAATGTGAAAACAGGTAGTGTTCAGTCTCAAGGAGCTGGGGGTGGGATTTCTGTTCCCATTGTGTTCATGCCAGTCTCTGTGTGCTATTAGAGCATCCCTGCCAAGAAGCTGATAAAGATGCATTCTAAAAAGCAAATATTTTGTCTCTGCATTGCTCTGAATAGCCATTGTTTTTCAAAATATTTCCCAGGAGATGAAACCCTCCACTGCAAATTACACTGCTCTGGTACATTACTCAATGTCCCACAAACAGGAATTATTTGGGGTCAGTAATTAATTTGGCAGTCCTAACGCCTGACTTGGAGACGGCTTTTTCACACTGGCCAAGTCTTTTTTTTTATTATTTTTTTTTATTTAATTCAAAAGGAGAGCATTAGTAGGAAGTAGGAGCCTACCTTTCAAATTCGCACGCGTGGCTTTGCAGGGCATTTGTTGTTGCCTGTGTAGCAGTGCGGTGGTGTTTCCTGTCCCGCCTGCGCAGTGCCTGAGAGCGGGACCCAGAGAGCTGTCTTTGACAGTCCTCCAGAATACGATGCGCCATTTGGATTGATGGGAAAAATCCTGTCCTATTAGTAAAGGTTAAAAAGCCAGAAATTACAGGAAATTGTTATTTTTAAAAGCCTAAACCCATTAGAGCTGTGCTTTTATCTTGGAAAGTCTACTCTTGCTCCATCCAACCTCCCTGCCTGTGATGGACGTTGAAATATGTACTATGGGGATGTATACGAGTATGTGAAAAGCTTAGTTCATTTAGAGAGAGATGAGAAAAATAATAAACAAGCTATTTCTGACTTATTTAGCTCCTTTTACGTGGTCTTTACAAAGCTATTGTCTATGGACCATTCGACTTCACCTCCTGGGATAAAGAGAGTTGGGTGATCAATGACACAGAGGTTCCTCTAGCAGCTGGGGTACGAAGCTGTGCGAGGTCAAAGTTATAATAAATCAATGTATGTTGATTTTTTAAATGGAAATACTTGCTCTTCTGGTGAAGACTGCACAAAGGATGGGATGTATTAAATACTGGAAGTTCTGGAGCATCAGCCCCATGAGGTCCCATCCTTCTCCCCGTCCTCACTGCCACAGTCTGTAGATGAAATGTGCTGTTTTCTCCAAGGCTGTACTCCCAGGCATGGCACAGTTCTTTCTCCTTATTGTAATTTAGGAGTGAGAGAGGAAGCGTTAGTTTATTTGAGCAAGGGCTTAGGAAGGGAAAGAAATGTGAGCGCTGTGTTTCTTGCCTGGTCACAGCTGTGCAATGCTGACAACAAAGTGGTTTATTTTTTGTAGCACTACTCTCTCATCTGCAAACCTACCTAAAATTTGGGTGCTGTAATACAGCAGAAATCACTGGATCCTGATTTCCCAAGGTAGCATGACTCATGCAGTGGTAGTGTAAGGCTCGGTGGTAGCTCGGGTTGCCAGTGTGTTTACTTCCAAATAACTTTTGAACTGGTTATTTGAGCTGGCTGTAGATGTTTCAGCTGGTTTCCACCAAGGTTAGGAGAGGAAGTGATATAACTCAAAAATAGCAGGTTTCTTCAAAGCTTTATGAAAAGCAGGCAGCTGGGAAAAGGAGGCACTATTATTTCCCCCCGGTGAAACCCTGTCACCTGAAGGCACACCACAGCAGTCATGAGGGGGTCCACAGCAGAGTGGAGGGTGCACGCCTCCGTGTGAGTAGGGTGAGGCTGTACCTACAGCAATTTCCGACCTTCTCCTGAGGCATATAGGCACGAGGCAGGTATGATTGTATAAACTTGCTAACTAGTGTATAACTTGCTGTCTTTCCATCTCCACCTGAGGAGGGACCTCTCTGCTGTGAGGGCAGCAGAGCAGTGGCAGAGGCTGCCCAGAGAGGTGGGGGAGTCTCCCCCTCTGGAGCCATCCCAAACCCGCCTGGACGCCGTCCTGTGCCACTGCTGGAGGTGCCCCTGCTCTGGCGGGGGGTGGGATGGGGGAGCTCCAGAGGGCCCTTCCGACCCTCACCAGTCTGGGATTCTGTGGGATTCTGTCTGCTGGTTGCAGTCCCCATGCCCGGGCAGACTCCCAGTGGCTGGGCGGACGGGTTGTGAGTACAACCCATTACAACACAGCTCAGCTTTGAGCTAAAATGCAAATCACGGCGAGTCTGGAGTGTCGGTGCCGGTGGCAGCAACAGGCTCGCTGCCACGCTCCTCCTGCTCCCGCCGAGCACGCCGCGCCAGAACGGGGAGCCTCCCACCTGGGCACCAAGCCCTGGGTGGGAAACCAGACGTGAAATGTGCCCAACCAGGTGTGAAATTTCCTGCTACTTCAGCCCAGGGGTTTTTCTGCCAGCCAAATCATCCAGCGGGACCTATCTGGCAAAATGTCTTAATGAACACCGCTCCGTTGACTTGGCAGTTGAACCTATTTAGTTCTTATACGCAGTTGGTTGTGTCTCCCGTGGGGATGAGGGTGTTGAATCCTCGCCATCGCCTTTATTAACCACGCCATCCTTCCAGTCTGTACCTAGAAACTGTGTGAAATGCGCAATTGGGAAATTATATTGTCTTAGACGATCGTGGCATTGTTCATCAGCACTGTCTGACTTCCCGGGGGTAGGAGAGGCCAAGTGCCTGGTCCTCTGCTTAACGGTGCTGTATTTCTGGTTTCATCAGTTGCTGAAGCATTGTCTCCTCCCTGCCGTCCCAGGGGATAGTAGCACTGACTGGAGTCCAGTCCTAGCACCTCCCTACATCCACGCTTACGTGTGGGCTTCAAATAAGAACTTCCTTGGCTGTCAAAAAAATCTGTTGACATATAGGAAGAAAGATGCCAAGAAAAGCTGTTGTGAAATCTCTTTATCTAGGGCAGAAAACAGAGCTTTGAGACAGGCATGGGAAAAGAAACTTAAATGAAATCTCTGGTTAAACTGATGTTTCGAGTTTCAGAGGGGCACCTGAACATCTGGATGCTTCTCCAAACTGAACTCGATCGTGTGAAGGTTAATCAATATAGATGGTCCTTCCAGTTCCAGGTGGAGTGAAAAGCAATGTGAACGTGTCAGTTCTTGCTTTTGAATTCCGACGGCTGCCATGGCAATGGCTCGAGTAGTTCTCCTGGGGCTCGTGTGACTTTTCAGCCGCAGTGTACCGTTAGGGACTCCTTGCTGGAGACAGAAACAGTGTGCACCGCATTTTGCTGCCGGGACTCTTGCTCTGGAGGCTACTGCTGTCCAGGAGGCAAAACTAAGCATGTTGTTCGATGTTTGCCCAGCAGGCAGAGTCTACCGTGGAAAAAAAGAGCTTTATTGTTTCAGGTTTCATAGTCTCCTCTGGAGGCTGGGGTAGTGTGTACTGCACCCCTAATGAATAACCTGCCCTGAAGGTATCTCTTACTGGTGGTTGAGAGCTGCGCAAGTGTGTTATTAGAAATTCTGCCCTGGGGTACAATTATGTTATTGCAGTCATTAAAGGCAGTTCATCTCCATAATAATGGAAATCCTGCCTTGGAGGCCTAATAAAATGTTAGTAGCCTGACTCCAGAAGGTAAATTTTATATAGAAACAGCTATAGCACGGATATAGATACATTGCAAATGCTGCTTAGAAACAAAGACTATTTCGATATGGATAAGGACACAGAGATCATTTTCTATCCTTGATCTTCCCTTCACATTTCACTGCAAAACGGCTGTTAAACTTTGTGGGGAAGGTCTTCAGTCCTATTAATGCCACTCTGTACGAAGCAGCCTCATAGGACTGCTGGTAGAGGAAGAGAAGGTGAATCTGCTGCCTACCACAGTAGCTCCCACCTTCCACGCCACCGGGACAGGAGACATGACTAAAATACACCTAACCTCTGTGAGACCCTCACTCAGGAGCAGCAGATACCTTTTAGATAGGAATGGTCACCATGAAGCTGTGCAGGCTGCAGCATCAGAGAGACGGTAGTATACAAGTCCTGTTTAGGACCCGCTTGCCCCAGCACGCTCCTCAGGCAGAAGTTGTTTTGCCCTTTCAATATACACCATCGCGCATATAACCTGGAAATTTGAGCTGGTTGTCCAGTTCTGCAGCTGGTAGGGAGTCATTCCAGAAGTCAACAAGCACTGGGAGCTCAGGGTGGAAGTGGTGCCTTGTGGTCACCGCCAAACTGCGATGTGTCTTTGGGACGTGTCAGATTGTTAATCAGAGAGAAAGATTTGAGTTGAGTTCAGTGTGTTTTTCACCTACCATTTGGCTCCCCTATATTTGTGTTTCCAGGTATGTTTAACCTCCGATCTCTTTATTCTAACTCAACGTTAGGAGAAAAGAGAATTTGGAGATCTGGGATCCCTTTACATGGCTTCTCTTTTCTCACGTCCCAACTACATCAGTGTGACTCAGAAGTGATGCTGGACTTCAGCCTGTGAGATGGAGATGGAGAGCATTGCTGCCCAGCCGCCCGAGGAGGGCTGGCATTCAAAACCGGGCAAAACTCCTCGAGCGAGGAGTGCATAGACTGTAGAGCTGGGACTCACGGTTTTTATTTAAATCTCAGTGGCACTGTGGTCTTATAATCTTATGTCTTCATCTCCCTGATTTTATGAAATAATGTAATCAACGTCAAGTGTTTTTTTTACATATAAAATGCATAGCATGTGTGGCATCGTATACATAGTATCTAAGCATCATACAGGCGTTATATACACAGACGTGGTCTTCTGCAATTATTGCACCATGTGAAAGACAGATGATTCGAACTGTGCCTCTGCTTTGCTCCAAAGCTGTCTCAGACACCAAATCAATCATTGCTGGGTACCAGTAGAAGTTACAGAGGTAGAGGGTAATTTTACATGAGATTTACCAATATAAACCAGAAATCCATAGTTTCCCACAAGTTTGGAAAAACTTCCATTAATTCATGGCCGCTGTGTAATGCTGAA